TTTAGGGAGAAAAATTACAGGCTTTGGAAAAAGATGAAACTATGTTTGAATCTGTGCTTGAGCACTTACTGGTTTAGTCATCTTAGTGAGTTATATAGCCTTTCTTACCTCAGTTCAAGACCAGCGTGGACAACATGGAGAAACCCCATCTCTACTAAAAATACAAAAAACACCAACAAAAAACAACAACAAAAAAAACCCAGGCATAGTAGCACACATGTGTAATCCCAGGTATTTGGGAGGCTGAGGCATAAGAATCTCTTGAAACTGGGAGGTGGAGGTTGCAGTGAGCCAAGCTCATGCCACTGGACTGCAGCCTGGGAACAGAGCCAGACTGTGTCTCAAAAAAATAATAAAATAAAATAAATGTAAAACAAGGAGATGATAGTAATATCTTTCTTGGGTATTACTGATATAATAGATTAAATGAGATGACCTGAAACTGTTCATAATGCAGTGGGCATTTTATATGTGTTAACTATTGTAGAATAGCATTTCAGTGTGTTCCCTGTTGATGCTTTGTTGCAGGCCATAAGGAAACCTACAGCCACTGGGGTTAGTGAAAGAAGGAAATAGGCCGGTAATAGGCCCACACAATATCTCTCTGGCTTTTGGTGACACAATAGCATTATTAGTAGTAGAATCTTAATTTATCTGATCCTCCACTTTTAAATTTTCTTTTTCTCCTTTTTTCTTTGCTGGAAATGTAGAATTCTATCAAAAAGCTAATACAGAAAAAATAAAGGGATCATCTGAGGTCAGGCGCATGCCATCTTGAGTCATCCTTTTTAGAGTGTGTTCATTTTTATAGTTTTAAGAAATTAGCACAAACGTTTTAAAATTTTATTTTTTGCACCCTTCCAGGTTCTAGAAGTCCATTAAAATTTCCTTGCTAATAGCTCATATAGTGCCTGGCATGCAATCAACACTCAAGAAATATATTTTGAATTGAGTTTTAAGATGTTCCTTTTTTTTTTTTTTGGCTGACAGTTCTGTTTGCTTCACTGTTTCTATTTGACAGTCTTCCATGGTTTGTAGACGAAAGCTTAACTAAGGAGTAAAAATCCTGGCGACTATTGTTCACATGAGCAATATTAGGTCCCTGCCACTTCACTTTTCAATCCTAAGTTCCCCTTTTGGCCTCGTTTAGTTGGTTCTTTAAAGTCTGCTTTATCCACCCATTTTTTTCCCCCTAGTTTGAAACCATCTGGCATGCATTTCTTCTTCTTCCCTACTTATATATTTGGGTATATACCCTCTTCAAACCTCAAAATATATCTGGATCATCATCTATTTTCTCTTCTTTCCTTTTCAGAAGAAGTAGTTCCCCATTTCCAGGTCTAAAGTCCTTCTGGGACACTCCCGACTTCCCATCCTTATCCCTCTCCTCTGGTGTTTGCTGCATCAACTAATGCTTCTCACAGTAGAACAGTTCATCTGTCTTTTGCCAATGTTGTCACTTATTCTTTTAAATGTGCATTATTTTTGTTTTATTTTACACATAGACATGCAGACACACACACACTCTCTCTCTCTCTCTCTCTCTCTCTCTTAATGCCACCAGAACTTCTTTCAGCTTTGATACCCATCTTAGGCTATATTCAATTTCTATCTTTCTTTGACATCCTATTGTCTTTGTTCTCCTTTGATTTTTGTGACTACTCTCATTTCCTTTTTTTTCCTTATTTTACTCCTTCCCTTGCCCATAGATGGATGAAAATCATAAGATTCAATTCTTATTTACACATTTTTCTCTTTTCACATTTTCTTATAGAATTTATTCATTCTTGTGGTGTCAAATATCATAGCATGTCTACAGTTCAGTCCTTTTCATTCATTCATATCCATTCACTTATTTGCTCATCTGAAAAACAAAACAATAACTACATGTATGACCATGAGAATAAAAATTAATGATTTCTCCCAAGATAGTTTTTGGATCTTCAGTCTTACTACCTGCGGGCTTTTACTATCATCTCAAACAATGTGTTGAAAGTCAACCTAGTTCTCTTACCCCCAAAACACATTTCCAGAATGCCTCATCATTCCATTTATGACTTTGCCTTGTTTAGTTAGACCCATCATCTCTCCTCACAAACTGTGTTCAATTTATTTATCTTTCATTATGCTCATTTCTTTTTTCCTTTCACTGTGAACAATGTGATATAAACCTCCTGCCTGTAGTAATGTAATAGTCTCTAACTAGTTTCTTAGTCAAAGACTTCCCTCATTTTAGGCCCTGGCACATGACTTCCAAGTTATTTTTCCTCAAACTGTAATCTACATCTCCCAATAAAAATATTGTTAATGACTTCCTATTAACAATAGAATAATGGAATAATATTCAAACTCCTTAATCTATCGATTGATACACCTTTTCTCTTTAACGGTTGGTACCCATGCACTATCCCTGGAACAGAAGGTAAGTTCCTTGCCAGCAGGGAACACATGTGTGCCATATATGCTGTAAGTGGACTATCCAAGGAATTCTTCCTATCAGCAAGACATAAACAAACATTTGTGTATAATGGCTATTTTTTGTTTTTAAACTCCAAGTAGCATAAAAACTAAAATAAATTGTAAGTATTGCTAATTAGCCTCCTTAAATGACTATTTTTCAGAGTGAATAATAATGAATGCTTTGCTCATGCACTGATACAGTGAGAGAGAGAGAGAGAGAGAGAGAGAGAACTATATTCTTTCTTTATATGTGTAAATAGGAAAAACTAAGGTGCCTGAATTTTTGTGTTACTCAAGCTTAAGCATTACAGTACTTTAATGAAATGACACACAGGGGCTGTGAAAAATAAACACATTAAAGTGCTTTGATCTCTTCTTGTATAGTAATCATATTTTATCTACTACGGGAGAAGCTCTTTTATTGTCTTAATTTTTGCAGCCCAGTTCTGCCCCGAATCATAGTGCTTATATAGACATGGGAATTGACAGTTAAAAGGCACACATTTGCCTATGTTAAATGTACAAGGAAGAAAATCAGCAAAGAAGGGGATTAGAAGGAATCAAGTAGGTTGAGTTTTCTGTTGTTGTTGTTGTTGTTTGTGGCTGCTGCTAAGCTGAGTCTTCTCTTTTTTCTCTTCCTGTACTTTTCTCCTCAGAATGCCCTCCTTCAGTTGGTGCAGAATCCATTTTCTTTTATCTGACTCTACTCTGTGACCATTAGGCTATTTCCTAACGGGGAAGAAAGCCATCTATCTCCTTTCCCGATTTCCAGTAATTAAACTGGAAAAGGACTCATTGCCCAAGGGTCCCTGAATAACAAACCTCAGAGACAACGTTATCTTCTCACTTCACCCTTGACACTCAAGGAGGGGTAGCCTGGACTGGCCCCTCTGTCCAGGGCCTGGCTAGCAGTGGTCTGGAGAAATAACCCGTGGGGTTAGCAACCATGCCCAAGGCCTGCCGTGTGGGTTTGTGAGCCGCCTGTGCCACTGACCAGCCTTCTCAACGGAACTCGTTCGCTGCTGATGGAAATCGCAACTCACTGATGTCTTTTCACCTTTCCTATAAGAATCAAAAAGCAAGAATTTAGACGTTCTCTAGTTGACTAGACATTTTCCTCAGTGGCAAAGTGGTGCAAATAAATATGAATCCTAAAACATTTCAGTTTGATGGATAGTCATGGTACAGCTACTGGATTTTTGTCACTACGAGCTGCTTTTATTGGTTCTCTCCTCTGGGATTTTAACATCCAACCGTGAATGATAAGTCATTTTTCCCCCACCACCCAAAAAGAGAATTTGAGCACTTAATGCTCACTGGGTGGGGGCAGAATATAATTAATTCATAGTTTTGCCATGCAGGGACCTAACTTGACTCTATCTCTAGGAAATAAATGAAATCCCAGGTGGTAGTATGCCTGCTGCTTGAACGCCGTACTTTCTCTGCTTTCTTTGCCTAATCACCATCATGACCCTAACATATGACCCCCATACAAATCCCCGAGGATTCACTAACCTAACAGTGATCTTTAGGTATTCTCTAAAAGCACACTCCAGGTTCCGCTTGCTTTCAGAATATTTTATTGTCACTTTTAAGGCTTATTTATCAAGTGTATGAAATTTTGGCCCTAGTAGCATTATTCTCATACAGTTCTTTTACTCATCTAGAAATGTTAGTGTAGTTTCTGCATACTTAAGTATTTTGTTAGAGTTTATCAATCTATGTATATATTTGCCTAGTTATAAATATATGAATAGGCTCTAGAGATTTTTTAAAAAGGTTGGTGAATTGGGTTGAAAAACTAATTGATTATTATGGGAGTGAAAGCATAAACAAGGTGAAAAATACAATGTTTATTGTTGAAGTTTAGTTTAATTTTTACAGTTAAGTAAAAAAATGTAGATATAGTTGAATTATTTTGAATAACCAATGTCTGAATATGGGGAGGATACTAATTTTAATGTGAAATAAACATAATTAATTTCCGGACTGTACACATATATGCAATAATATATGCATGTACCGATGAATGGGTTTTTAAAAGTATCTAACTCAATTTACTCCTAATCTACTTTAAATTTCCTGTTTAGTAGTAAATCTACCTTTCTCTAATGCTAACAGCTACACAAGAGCTGTGAACAAAAGGCTTTGATCCGTTCTCTGTTTTTTCTTTTTTAAAGAGTTTGAACTTAAACATGCAAATGTCTGTAGCTTTTGTTGCTTATACAATTTGATTTATTCCTAATTGGCGGGGAGTTGCTATGGATGTTGGTGGTTTGGGCTTGTAATATGAAAAAAATGGTTACCTAACATGTGCTGTTGTTTTTTAATGTGGGCATACATTTAAAATTCTGTGGCTTTCCCTCTCCTCCCCCAACCTCGAAAAGCAAAATGCATTTAGCTTTGAGCTGAAGAAAGCTGCGGCTGGAGCAAGCATCTCTCAGCTCACACAGGCATTAACATATACGGTCATTGTCTCTGCTGCTTCCCACTGCAGCTTTATATAATAAAACAAGCCGCGTCAAATAGGCTAGGCTGTAATATTAGGTAAAATCTAATTTCAGTTTGGTTATCACATAGCGTTCATTTCCCTAAGGGAGGAGAAAAAATTAAATTTGTAAGCTTAAGATTCCAGCTGAAGTAGTAAGTATGAAAGGCTTTCCTCTGCCTTTTATTATTCACTTTATGAATTAGCCTTAGTTTACTTGTTTCGATCGGTGTCGACATATTTCTGAATACTATTAGCATAGCAATCAGGGCTGTTCTCAGGTTATTGAATGGTGTGTTGACTTCCGAAATAAATAGATATGCAGTGTGAAGGGCGAGCTGTCACTTTAGGAGAGCTTTCCTGATCTAAATTAAAAGGCACTTCTAATTGAAAACTATAATAGCAGGAGGGTTAGAGAGACAATGAAACTGCTTGGTCCCTTTCAATTTTCACAGGATTCTGTTAGTGAATGTAGAAGAAAAAGTAAAATGAAAATATTAAATTACAAATTGCAATTTAAGCAGCAATATTAAATTATCCTTAAATAGCCATATTGCTCTGAAGCAATTTTAGATGCTTGATTTAAAGACTCTCAGTGCATTTGAGTTCTCACGATTATATTCTGATTTATCTGTTTTATCAGTTAACATATAATTCTATCTTTACACCAGCAAATGTGTCTTTATCTATGAAATAAAGAATCGGTCCTGAAAGACTTTTCATTTTGCACTTTGTGCTCACTAATTCAGTGTTGCATGAGTTTTTGTGTATCTTTTATCATACCTGAGGGTGTATATCAAGGACAGGGGACCTCAAAGTCAAGGAAATTTTATAAAATCTGAAGTGATTATTCATGAGTTGTCTAAGTGAAAGAGTTTCAGAAATTAATAACAGGAAATCAATTATAAATTTAAGTAATAGGTAAAATTATTAGCTATTTCAGTTTCATGAATAGCTTACCAGCTGTCTGAGTCTATATATTTTGGTTCTTTAAGGGTTAACAATTGAGGCCTGTCTATAGCTCATTTCTATAGTAACAGCAAGACTGAGACTTTTTATGGGCACCTAATAATTAGAAAGTGCTAGAAGGTATAACAATATAATGAATCAAAACTGATAGACTTGTGGGTTTCCATAGAAACATGTATAATTATGATAATCGGTCCCTGGCGTACCCTCAGAATCGTATACATTCAGTTAAATGCAATAAACATTAGGCACTATTTAGTGAGCTGTGATGCAGATTAACAGTGTGAGATACAGGGAAGCTATGAATAAAATTGCTGTACAGTTTATCTCAAACTAATTTCCCAGATTGCTTTAATAGATGTAGTGTGTGGATGTGAAAAAATGGAAGTGTATTTTTGTTAGTGGTAAAGCTAACAAAGATAATATTTCATAAAGTGGTGGACTGATTGTTAATTTCAGTGCAGATCAAAATGGGCCATGGCACATTATTCAATGTGGAATCCCAGAGCCCTCCGAGTAAATGGCAGATTGGGCCTCCCTTTGCTGATTTATTTCAAAAGTAAATTATAAATCTTTTTATGGTTGTCCATTTTTCTTTAACCTTTTCTTGCCCCTCTTCTATCTCCCCATTTTAGGGATAATTTTCACAGCCCTGTTATGGGGAAGGAATTACATGCTTGTTCTCCCTGACTCTGATCTGGGAAAAGGCAATGGTTCCTTCTGGCTCCTTTGCACACCTAGTATTTATTTTACCCTCAGCTTGTAGATTTCAGATGTACTGGGCCTTAGCATCTGCAAAGGCCTAGGAAACAGCCAGAATTTCATTGTAAGGTGGGGCTAAAATTCGGGTGTGTGCATGTTTATGTGTGTGTAGGGGGGAAGGAGATATTGTGGGGGAGGCAGTGCGTAACAGGATGTTAAATATTATTTTATTGGATTTTTCCTGTTTCCTTACTAAGGAGGTAACAGACCAAGTTGGAAGATGTAAATCTGTTCTCCAGGGCGGGGGTTGGGGCGAGAGGAAGATGAGGGGACCAGGATAAGGTGATGTGGGATTGGAGTTACATGAGATAACAGAGCAAGGAGATGAGAAGCTTCTAAGCTTGTGTATAGAGAGTGTGTGTGTTTGTGTATGTGTGCGCGCCCAAGCAAACTTATAGGTCTGAATTATCTATCAATATTACCCTCGTCTGCCAATGCCCATGATAACCTCTCAAGCACATTTCGCAAGAGAAGCGTGAGTCTCCCCTGAAGCGGGTGGGATGAGAACTGAGACATGCACGTGTGAGATCTGAGAGCCCTTAGCGATTGAGAATGTCAAGCTTCAGGATGAAATTACACAAATGTGCTGCATTATCTCTTGTACTACCTTTAAAAAGTATAATAAATAAAAGCCTTTTGGGGGAGGAATGTTTTTCCTCACCAGCTTCGGAGCTGCTCTTAGGCCTGACAGTTGAGCTGGGCAGGCCTTTCCTTCGACTCCGCGCTGCCGCGATATTCGGATATTCGGCACAGGGGGCCTTTTAGAGTCACAAGGCGATGTACATCAAGCCTTTCTTCTCTCCTTCATGATTATGTTACTTTCTAATACTGTAATGGTGTTCTACAAAAGATTCTAGTTCCTGCCTGGCAGGAGTTGAAGTGCTGGGGGTGTCGGGGAGGGAGGTTGGCCATGTTCTCTCTGTAAGCAGAACTTCTCACTCTCTGTTTCCAGTCTCCCATTTTCCAAAGACCCATAGCTAAGGGGAGCATGTTCATAGGTTTTCATTTTGAATGACAATACAAATCTATTAAGAATTTTTTTCAGGAAATCTTTTTCATTCCTCCCTGTTTCTCTGCTTCTGACTCTCTCTTTCTCTTACCTATGGCAAAAAATTACATTAATAGGATGGTAAATAAAAACATGATAGACAACCTTTCTTCTTTTAAGCTTATTTCACATGGTTTATCTAATATTTTGATCAAACTTCAGCGTTCTTTTTCCCTCTTAATTCATTCCAGTGACATTTGGCATATAGCATTTACCCCAGCATTTATGATATTATTCCGCAATGTCTAAACATTTTTATAGCTTGTTTTATATACACATATGTGACTATGTTAATGAATTATTCAACAAATAGACGGCAAGGATCCATTTAACAAGCACATACACATATTCACACATAACACACCTATACATTTACGGTATTATATTTGTGAGTATGTACATGCATGCATGACAACTCAATTTCAGGTTATTGTATTTCACAAGACTCGCGTAGTACTTGTTATGGTAAATTATGAATATATGTAATCAGGCAATATATGGTTGTAGTATTTTATCTCCACAAAGAACACTAATTTCTCTGGACAAAAATGAGGAATGATACTTTTCTGCCATCTCAAGACATGCTCATGCATACATATTGGTTGAATAAGAAGCTTATTATTAATACGTTTCACAAATATTGATTAAATGTTGATTATGTTCAGGGCACTATTAATTTTGTATGGAGCTGTAAAAGCATATATCAGGATAACTATTCATGTACATATTATTTACAAATAGTTGGGTGTATTTTTGTCGACTATTTTAGTAAGAAATGCTTGAAACAGCTTTAAATGAAACAAATTTATAAGCCATTTATTCTTTATTTCAACAAATACCTCTTGGGCGCTCACTATGAGATAGGCATATTTTTCAGTGATGAAGAACAAAGTTCCTGCCCTCTTGTAGCTAGTGTTCTAATGGCAGAAAGTAGAGAACAAACAAGCAAATATATATCAAGTGATGATAAACAGGGTGAAGTATGGGAAAAACATGGATAAACAAAGGGAATTCTTTGAACTTGATAATGCAGAAAATTGAGAAATGCCCAAATCTTAAAGTGTTTTTTAAAAAAGGAAAGGAAAAAAGCTGACATTTGTTGAATATACCTGGTGTTGTGCTATGCTTTTCCCCACTCATAGTGTATCATTTACTACTTATATCTGCCCTGAAAGGTGGACAGGCATTACCATTTTTATTTTACAAGGAAAGAAGCTGAAATTCAGAGCTATAAGCCCAAGTAAGACCACACAGCTGGTATGGGACTTAAACCCAGCTCTCCTAGTTCTGAAGCCCAGGGGTCTTAGCAGCACTGTGCCTCTATATATTAGGAACAAAGAATAATAAGCATCGTCAGTACTGCACAGAAATATAACTGGCTTGTTTTGTTTTGTTTTGTTTTGTTTTTTTCCTTGTGCAGCTCAAGAATCCTGTTTCTCTGACAGAGGAAACGAACAACAACTTGACTGGACACATCCTAACCCAACCATACGCTGTGTTACTTCCTCCACTGCGCCACACACAGCTATTATTCTAAGCTTTCTTATTCAAACCCTTAAGGATTTGTAAGGTAGAAACTCTTCCACATGGCTGAATCTCTGCTGCTTATTTTTAGTTGAGTACTGTTGCTGTGAGGATTCTTCTACACTTTCTCTTTCACTGAATCTTTTGCCTTTAAAATAAAATTGTTTCTGTTCTATAAAACCTACAAAGACTTTAGAATGTTGTCCTTTGAAGATTCTAGTTCAATTATTTTGATTCAATTTTTAAATGCTTTTGATGGAAGAAAAGGAGTTTGCTTTAGTTGAATGGTCAGTATTAGAAATATTGTCCAGTAGGATTTCTACAGGGAAGACCCCAGACTGTCTGTTCCTCAGGTTTCTGGAAAGAAGAGGTGATAGTCTTACGTAGCATTGTAGATAGAGCAGCATTTTTCTTTCAAATGGGAAGATATATGTGAATTTAAAATGGAAAAAGCAATTATATGTACACATTCTGCACATACCTATATTTACACACAGTAGTCCTTATCACTGGGGACTTAAATAAACACTGATGACCATTTGATTATATTGCTTGATTTAACTAGTATTTTTTTTTGTTTACTTGATTAAAAATTATTGATTGGCTTAATCAAAAAGTGCAATAAAATGTAAAAATTGTATACTACACATTTACAGGAACACAAGCACATTCCCTTCCTTGGGGGTTTTATATAATGAGCACTAATAACCAGTTTGATGATACAGTTAAAATTAACTAATATTTTGATAGATTTGATTAAATAAATTATTTAGTTTTGTGTCCTGATTGCCCAGATGCTTTTGAAAAGAGTAAACCTCTCTATAAGAGTAAGCCTCTCTCTATGTTTTCCTCTCAGAAAAATATTCTTAACATGCTTTCTCATTGAAGTTTCTCATTTTAGTTTTACTTTCTTTCTAAATGGGGCAGCAAAAGAAACAGTAGGGGCGTTTTACTTGTGATTTCCTCTATTGTTTTATGAAAGCCCCCTTGTCTTATGTCTATTTATGTTTTCCATTTACAGAACTTGGAAAGAGAAAGTGACTTCAGACAGTTGCTGTGAGTAGTAATTAATTTCAGTGATCAATGTGAGTTTGCATATGGGCATTTATGAAAGGATGTTTGATTATGAAATGCCAAGTACCCCTCCTATTCTCATTGTGAACTTAGTGAGTGCTGTTGTACAGGAGAAGGGGGCTAATACAGACCTTTCTATTTGGGCCAAGGGTGGCTGCTCTGCACAAAAGTTGCTGTTTTTTTAAGTTGTTGTTTAGCAAGTCCTACTGTTAAAATCTCAGTCAATGGCAGCCAGGCAGGTGTAGCACTGTTGGCATTGAGTTAGATCCAAGCACCAATTGAATCTCTTGGTTCTCTAATTGAAGACTAGATACTCTTATCATGTACTGCTCCCAATCACATGCAGACAACCCTCAATGTACAACAACCTATAATTAAAAAAGTGTTAGAAAATGATTATTTACATAACTCAAATATCCTACAGTATATTGGCTAAACGATTGTATAGCTCTTCAGTAGAATGTTATTTAGCCATTAACAGACATGTTATAGGAAAATAATTGATGACTTGGTCAAATATACATTACATATTGTTAAACTAAGAGTAGGTTAAAGCTGGGCACGGTGGCTCATGCCTGTAATCCCAGCACTTTGGGCGACTGAGTGGACCATGAAATCAGGAAATAGAGACCATTCTGGCCAACATGGTGAAACCCTGTCTCTACTAAAAATATGAAAATTAGCCAGGCATGGTTGCGCGTGCCTGTAATCCCAGCTACTCGGGAGGCTGAGGCAGGAAATTCGTTTGAACCAGAGAGGCAGAGGTTGCAGTCAGTCAAGATTGCACCACAGCACTCCAGCCTGGCAACAGAGTGAGACTCCGTCTCAAAATAAATAAATAAATAAATAAATAAATAAATAAATAAATAAATAGGTTAAAACAAGATGTAGAGTTTTAATACCCAAATATACAGATAGTAGAATTATTAGTAATTTTTCTTTTTAAAAGCTTTTCTCACATTTTCTAGTTTTCCTACAATAACTACCTACTATTTCTGTAATAAAATTGAGTTTTAAAAATAATCAAAGTATACATTTTTATATTGTGTGCACATACATATACATACATGTGTAAGAAAAAAAGGTGAAATGCTAAAAAAATTATCTCTAGACTGTGAGATTATGATTGATTTCTTCTTTCTTCATCCTTTTCTGTAAACTCTTAATTTTCTCCAATATGAAAATATGACTTTTGTAATTAGAAAAAAATATGCTTACAAAAGTAGAAAGAAAATACTATATATTCTAATAGTCAGTGTAAACAATTTGTACCAATAAGATCAGGATATGATGACTAGCCTAAAATATCCTAATAGAAGAGCCTATGATATTCACGCAGTAAACCACACATTACAATAAGACAACTCTATACAGTGTCCTCATCCTTTTAGCAGTTGTGTTTGTATGAATACATATTATTCCTCTTTAAAAAAATGATGACATAGTAACTTCATTTTCTCTAACACTATCAGTACTCTCTTTCTCCCTGTTGTGGGAGGCTCTTTTTTTTTTTTTTTTTTTTTTTTTTGCATTTGGTTCTATCTCTCTTGCCCCTTCGGGATTGCCATTGGTCACCTGGCAGGAGTTTGTTTCTAAGCATAGGTGTTGATATGAGATACAGTTACTAATGTGAAGCACTACCTCATGCAAACTGAAAACTCTAGTTTCTCTTCTGGGTCATTGAAAGGTTATATGAAAATCACTCCCCCTCAACACAAAAAAGTAAAAATTTAAAATTAGCAGACAGTGCCAATGGAAAAATGGAGACAGAAAAATGGGTCTCATTTTAAAGAGTCAGAGCAAGCCAAAGAATAATGATTCATTGACTAATCCTTGTATTCTGAATGCGGTAAGATCATTAGTCATTTTTTGGTTTCTTCTGAGTTGGGACGTACTCTTCATGTAGTTTTTTTAATGTGGTCTCAAAATAATTTTTTTTTAATCAGGTAATGAGTTTTTGAACCAGCAATTGTTTTGATATTGGACCCCTTTTCTCAAGCACTGATAAAAACAAACAAACAACAATAACAAAAAGAATAGAGCACTTGAGAGAAAAGAACTGCCAAATTTGGTACTAGTTACAGAAAACGAGTAAACGAGCACCCTTGTAGACTATTAGTTTAAACACACACAAAAAAACTTTCTTCTAAAATCTATATGCATGTCTATCTTCCTAAGAAAGACTTCCCTTTCTTCCCTGTTTACCCCTTGCAGGACACAAAAACTAGTATTTTTGCATTCCTCTTTTTTCACTGTAACTTCTGACTAAAGTCATTGTATAGAAGAAAATGAATCCAAAGAGGAAGTTAATACCAAAAGCCATAGAATAACCAGCACTTCTCTCAGCTTTTCAACTTATTTTTGTGACTATAGTTCTTACAGTCAGACCAGAGCCGATGCTCACTTAACACAATCAAGATAGCAAGCTATACTATACTTACTTTCTTTGAAGTATGGTAATTATTACTATTATCTTGTTCAATAATTAACAACTCATGGCTGTAAGCTAACTTTCTGTGTCCTCCTACTCTGTGGCTGCAGAGGTGTGGAGAGTATGTTATTTGGTGGACATCTCATATTTTAACCCAGAAAGGCATTATTACCCTGAGGAGGGGTATCCAATAGAGACATAATGAAACGTAGACTTCTGTTTTACAAAGGTCTTTCTTTATGCATTTATTTAAAAATTTGTTTTGCATGTTGAATAAGTGTATAAAACTGCTTGAAACATTTTTTTCTCTAAATTAATTGTCCCAAATTAACATGTTTGTACTTTCAATTACTTGTACCAATTTGAACAATTGTTTTCTCCTTTCCATTCTTCATTGACTTTTGAGTTAATGCTGAAATGAGTTAAGACTTTGGGGGACTGTTGAGAAGGCATGATTGGTTTTGGAATGTGAGGACATGGGATTTGGGAGGGGCCAAGGGCAGAATGTTATGGTTGGGCTGTGTCTTCACCTAAATCTCATCTTGAATTCCCACGTGTTGTGGGAGGGACTGGTTGGAGATAATTGAATCATGGGAACGGGTCCCTCCCATTCTGTTCTTGTGAGAGTGAATAAGTCTCACGAGATCTGATTGTTTTATAAATAAGAGTTCCCTTGCACATGCTCTCTTGTCTGCTACCATGTAAGAAGTTCCTGTGCTCTTCCTTTGTCTTCCACAAGATTGTGAGGCCTCCCCCACCATGTGGAACTGTGGGTCCATTAAACCTCTTTCCTTTATAAATTACACAGTCTCAAGTATGTATTTATTAGCACCATGAGAGCAGATTAATACACACTCCCAAGCTTGCCCATTGTTTTCTAAGCTCCCACAATTGTACAGAGTGGCTGGGTCAGTAGAAGCTTCCAGAACTTGGCATTTACAGTAGCAAAAAACATACAAAAACTCTCTTCAAAAAACACTTAATTTAGGCTTGTAGAGAGAACAGGACATTAATCTAGATTCTTTTGTTTCTAAGGTAGTTTTATTTTAGGAGCATTATTGCTCTTCCTTGACATTGGGCCTTCACTGGAACATCTATATCCCCCTTAATGGATGTCTGAAAGCTCCTGAGTATCTTATGTAAATTGTTCATGGCATTCTAAAAAAACAAATTTATGAACCTTCTTATTCCATTGTTCTCTTAATACTAGAGGTAGTTATTTGGCCCTTGCATTTACATAATTAATAAAATTTAAAGGAAACTCCCTCATAAGCCTATTTCTAGTGATCAGAGATCACCATTTCTAAATCCAAGCACCTAGAATCTCAATTATCTAAAGTGGAGTAGAATTGTTTGGTTGAGACATCGTGCCACAAGCCCCTGTGATATAGTATGAAGTAGTTTGAAGAGCAATACACAATAGATACCCTCATAAAGACAAGTGAAATAACATATATGTTACACTTGATCACTTGCAGGACTTTGCTTTAGGTAATTGACATATGTAGCAGGGGTTGAAGTTTCATGTGTGAGTACATATGCGCACATGTGTGAGTACACATGCGCACATGTGTGAGTATTTTGCTATAGCACAAGAAGTCCCCCAAGTAGGTCACATTTTGGATGATATCATAAGAAGGACATATATAAACTCCCTGGACAGAAGTGTAGCCACACTTCAGTAGATGTGCTGGCAATTCCTCCATCTAAGGGTGGATGAAAATAAGACTTTTTGCATTAGGGGTTTTAAAAAGATGCCCGCAAATCTGGAGTAAAGGAAAATTGTCAGGGCTCTGGACCCACAAGATGGCAGGTGCCTGGGCTAGATTTGACTTTACCCTCTGAGGCTACCTTCTTGCCCCAAAGGGGGCTGAGCAACAAAGAGAAAGATGGGTGCCTCACACCATGTTCTAGGCTCACTTCTAGAGGCCAGTTGTTAAACTGCCACCAGTTAGCAGTAATGCTCCAAATGTCCTCTTGTTTAGCAAAAAGTTAGTGGCAGAGATTTGAACATAGGCTTTTCTGATCTTAAAGCTAATATTCAGTAATTCTGTAATAAAGATATAGCAAGTAGGTTTTAACTTGAGGTTTAATTCTGATTAGTTGATCACAACTGCATTTAATACTGCAGTAAGGATTATAAAGTGTCGCTCTCAGGGACCACTTAAAGGATAACCTAGAGTGCTTTCTTCAGGTTGGGGAGCAGAGACATGAAGCAGTGGGCTGGGCTTCCTGTGCTTCTGACTTACAAACCAATTAACCAGATGTTAATTGTTACGTTTTAGGTTAGCAATGTATAAAAAAAATTAAACTTCATTTAGAGCAAAGCTGGCTTTTAACAGTTTCTGTAAAAAATGTACTTCTAGATAATTTTGAAAAATAATAACCTAGCCTGATATATACACCTATATTGCACTTGAGGCTTTACTGCTTTTCCTTCTATCAAGGTTTTTCCTGAGAGGAAATTTACTAAGGAGAGCATGTCCCTGATACATATTTGTATGTTCTGGATAATACTTTGTACTAGGCTGTAAGAGGTATGGTAAGATGA